AAACTTACAAAAAAATATAGACCTCGATAAAACCTGGGAAAAAATACAAAAAGCAATTCAAAAAGTGGCAAAAAGTATACTACCTAAAAAAGAAAAAATGCCTAAACTTCAAGACCACCAAATTGAAAATGAGAAGTTGAAGGATTTGAAGAAAGATATAAGAGTAACAGGAAAATGGTGTCATAAGCTCAAAAAACCCTCATATTTTGAAGATACAACAAACTTATATGAAAAGCAGGTGAGCAAGAAAGCAAGAGAATAGCTAGTAGTATTAAAAGACAAATATATAGAAGATCAGTCTGAAGCAGGTATACAAGATTGCCAAGAAGAAACGAATAATAGAAGAGAGCTTGAGATATGGTGGAAAAGCCTTTACAAAACATGGCAATCAAAAAAGAGAAAAGCAGAGGAAAAAGAAATACAAGAACATATTAAAAGAAAGCATGCAATAATAGTAAGCGACCAAAGAAAAATGATCACTAACCTATTAGAAAAACTATTCAATAAGCTAAAACTAGATAGAGTAGTAGTAGAGAGGGAAAACGCAGAAGAGGAGCTGATACACAAGCCTCAAGAAGTGCTTAATGCAGTCAAAGACCACTTCCAAAAGCAATTCAGAAAAAGAAATACAAAAGTAGACAGACTTTCATCCTTTTGAAAAAAAGAATATGAGCCAATCGAAGAAGTTAAAGAAGAATGGTATGAGGATCTAACCAGTTCTGTAAAACAAGAAGAATGGGAGATGGCTTTAAACCAAACCAAAAATAGCTTTGCCCCAGGAATATCTGGAATACCTTACCCTCTGCTCAAAAATGTAGAAAAATTTGTAAAAAGTATTTTTATCGGTCTGGCCTCAGCATGTATAAAGACAGATAAAATCCCCAAGAAGTGAAAAATTGGAATGCTTTACCTGATTCAAAAGAAAGAAGAATGGGGATACAAGCTCAATAATGTCAGACCTATTCTACTCCTGGAAACTTTTTGAAAATCGGTAGTGAGAATAGTAAACAATAGACTCAGCCAGGTACTAAAAAAAAAAGAAGTCCTTAAAGGATGAAATTTCACAGGATTACCTGAAGAAGGAATAGCTGCGCCAATACATCTACTAAATTATATTCTAGAAGATGCTAAAGAAAAGAAAAAAGAGGTCTGGCTCTTTTTTC